GGAGCCACCATAGGCCTCGGATTTGCATTATTAATAAATGCGTAATGATGGGGCGTTATTCTCATAGGGCCCTGGAGAGAAATTCTGCCACGAAATATTCCTCTACGGGGCCACACAAGCCTCGGATCCCCAGAAAAGAAGGCAGAGGGAGCAATACTCGGCAGATGACTATCATATCAATAATTAATAATGCGGTTTGGATCGCTGCTGCCTCACGATATGTCCTGATGCGGAGGGGGCCGGTTGCGGCTCCATGTATGACCGCGGAGCTGGCACAGGCCGGTGTGGCTGTGGAGGAGGCTCCTGGAGGCCCTCAGTGGCCCCGGAACAAGGCGCTTGAGGCGTTTCCACTTTGAGCGGAGAGAGTGCGTCCGCGGCATCTGTCCGCTCAGGCTGCAGGGCGAGCGGCCTTTAAATGCCTTCTAATCGATGGTGACTCTTCGCCATAAAGTTTTACAACAGGACCCCCACCCCCTGGACACAAGCCCCAATTAGCTTCACGGAGGAGGATAAAGGAACAGCGACGGCGCTTATATTAATACCAGCGAATATAAAACCACAATTCAAATGTGCTGGATTCTGACAACATTCCCTTAAATCCAGAACCAGGCACCAGAAACCGCTGGTGTCACGTTGAAGAAGACAAAATCAAATAAAAGGGGGACATGTCTGACGCAGCATCACAACAAACACAACACGGTTTCCAGTATTTATACGCCTAATTTATTCACTTCTGGTGACTTTAATCGCCCGTGTGTATCCCGTGGACAGCTGATAACAAACGCACGCCACAACACTCCATTTGAATTCATAGTCAGATAGGACTGCTACACCCACAAATCCAAGCAAAGCAGCAATTAAAAAAATCAAGTGGGACATGGGAGTCCTCTGCAGGGAAATTAGGCGACCTACAAAATCAGATTAAGTCTTCGGGGGTTGGTGGCGGGGGGAGGGGATGCATGTAGGACATTTATTATGCAAACTATAGCAGCAGCCATATTAGAGGCCGTCGGTGGAGTGTGAACACTGACTCACCTTGTCGTTCTGATACGCTGTCACAGCCACAAACTCGGTCTCCGGGAACACGTAGGTCCTGAAGGTGCTGTAGGGGAGCTTGAGGATGTCGTTGGCCCGCACTATGTGGAACCTGGGCTGGTACTTGTGCATGGAGTTCAGGATGGTCTGGACCAACGCACACAAAAACGCACAGCTTTGGAGTGAATATCACGGCATGTTTGTGTCCCTCTTTGATGCTAAAACTCGACACTAGGCAGAATATGTTTGAGGCGGATCATCCAGCGCATTGTTATTGATGCTGTTATAATTACTGTGTAAGCAGACTTGTCTGTAATTAGTGCGGGGCACAGGGAAAAAACCTGACCAGGCCACACATGTTGTCATGAGAGATCAAAACCACAGCAAAAAAATGATTTGATCCAGTTTCTATGAGGGAAAAGGCTACAAATTTTACATTTACCAAAGTACAGACACTTTACGAGCCTGGAATTACAGCCTGAGGCTCTATTTTCACACAAGGCACTGCACACATTTTAGCATCAAATATATGACTCATTTGAATTTTTTTTTTTAAAAAGCCAATAACGAAACGACAACGAATATTCTAAATTAATTGTAAATTAAATAACAGTCGTATAATGTCAACTTTAAATAACTTAAACACATTGGCAGTAAACACATAAGCCCTGTGTATAAAAAGAAATCCTGTCTGTGACCGATTGCAAATTATTTAGACTGACATGTAAATGTTGAATTTGTTTCCAGTTGGAAGCACCTTCTGTCTGCCACTAACAATGACTTTCTTAGACATTTATTCTTTTCTTTTGAGCCGGTTATTTAGTGAGTTTCCGTGCATATTTTTGTACAGGTAAAATAATGTCAAACGTGGGAAATATTTTTGGATAAAATGCGTAAAGACGCAGCAGCATCCAGGCAAAACTTTGGAACAATATAGACGTAATGTTACACTAAAAACCAACACAAACCTCTACTATACTATACTATACTATACTATACTATACTATACTATACTATACTATACTATACTATACTATACTATAGTGTTACATGCTGAAGGGGATGTCAATCTCCCATTCACACTATTTCACGTCATTTCTCTATGAGCCGATTTGCCGATACACCGCTTAATCCTCCAACACTCGGCTCACATCTGATGTTTGTTTTACATTCTCGATTAAAATCTCGGTTAATAATGAAGAGGTAGAAGAAGGAGGCGCGCTGCGGTGTGCAGGCCCGAGCTGCTGCAGCGCAGACAGCTGGGTCAGGGCTTTGGATATTTGAATGTAGCAGGAGTGAAAAATGCAGGCTGATAATATTCTGTAGAGCTGCAGGGAAACTTAAGCTGCGTGAATGTGAGCGGCGGTGGGAAGTCAAGTGGCGACAAAGTGTCAACAGCTCTGGACGGAGAGGTGTCTCAGCTTTACGCACAGGCTGGAAAAGCTCATATTTTTTGCCAAGCGTTTTTTAATATAATCTGGATTTATTTGTTTTTTTGTTTCGCTTTAAAAAAAAAAAAAAAAAAACTTTCTCTAGCTTTAATTTAGCCTGCTCCATTTTATAAGCTGGATCCAGCTCACCCTAGTCGCTCTGTTTTTATTTATTCTCCAGTTTCCTTCTCATGGTTTTGCTGACACAACGACCCACTTTACACGTCTGCTTCATCAAATTTTCATCTGATCTTAGAAACACCTAAAAACACCCTTTTGTTCTAACAGCAAGCAGCTCATGCAGCATGTAGGTTCCATGTGGGGGGAAAAAATACCAAGAAGAGGGAAAAATAAATGAAAATAATAATAATAATAACTAAATATATACAGATAAAAAACTCTAGATGTACTTACAAATCCGTGTTTGTCCGAGATGTTGTTGGTCAACTTGAGTTTATGGAAAGCAACAGGCTTGGCCATCCACTGCTCGCCGGTGGCCGGGCTGTCCGGGTGGATATACATCCTCTTGGGCATCTCCGGGTCGGCCTTGCCCGCCACCATCCAGCGGGAGTTGTGGAACTTGTAGCGGCAGTCGTCCGCCGCCACGATGTCCATCAGCAGGATGTATTTGGCTTTTTTATCGAGCCCGTTTATTCGCACTTTGAACGGAGGGAACATCCTCCTGCAGACACACACACACACATAAACACACACACACACACTGGGAGTCAACACGCCGCGATTCAACCAAAACACAACATCACGTTATCATGCAACACTTGAACAAATCTGACAAAAGAGGCTTTGAAGGTCGCCAGAGAAAAAATCCCCCCAAAAACAGGCCGCTCTGACAAGTGGAAATATTGCAATTGTCAGATATTATTGTCCAGCGTTGCACGCAATTAGGCGACAGCAACGCAGAAAAACACGGAGTGTATGTGTGTGTGTGGTGTCTCTGTCCTCCTGTGTGTGTCTGTGTGTGTTGTCCAAGACCTCCACTACAAAGCTGAGCAGTATATTTATGACCACACCACTTCACGTCCCTGCTTTTTGAAGTGACAGCCTGTTTATAAAATCCAGAAGCTCTGCTGCCTCCACAGAATGCAGTTTGGGAGATAAAAACCTGATTAAAGCTCGGAGCACATTTCCCCAAAAAATATCCCAGAAATGTTCTTCAATCAATGTGGAAGTAAAGTGTAAATATTTTAAAAATTAAACTGGAGTTTTATTCATTGACTGGCCAAATAAACTCTGATTTGTAGACGGAGTTGTGGGCCTGGGACTGCATTTAAAAACAACAATTTTAGTATATAATTAGGGTTAAATATGGCATGGTTTTGTCGTGTTGTCTATTTTTCTTTTCCAGTTTATTAATAATGGAACAGACTAATAAACGCTGTGAAAATAAGCAGCCACTGGTAAAGGCCTGGCGCACAGGCAGCCGCTTAATAAAGCGAATAAATAGCTTTTTAGCTGCTCTAAACTTGTCAACTGGGGCTGATTCTCTGCATATAGACGGACAAAGTGGCGGGGTTTTATTTTTAAAAAGTGTATCCACGAGAGGAATCACAATTCGGAGAAATTCTTACCTTCCAGATTTGGTAATAACCATCTCCGTCCCGAGTTTATGAAACTGGTCCCAAAGATCCTTGGCTTCCAGTGTAACTTTTGGGTCGTCGTCCACTTCCTCCTCGGGCTCCAGGCTCTTCATGCTGCGGAGATGAGCCGCCTGATGGTGGCTGAGGGCCGGGTGGAGCCCAGCCTCCGCCGCCCCGGCCAGGCCGTGGTCCGGGATGGGCTTGGTGAGCGCCCCGGGAGGCAGGCTGAGCGCCGGGAAGAAGGAAGGCTGCGCGGCCGCGAGGAAGGCGGACATGGGGAAGTCGGTCGGCCGGTGTGCGTGGAAAGGGTGATAAGCCATTGCAGTCCCTGTAAAAACTGGATCTCTCATCGGTGCATCCACAAAAACCGAAGTGAAATAACAGATATTTTTAGTGGTATTTCCCCCCAACCCAGAGCCAGTGTAGGTCCGCGCTTCGCGAGGCAGTTAGCGGTACAGAAGAGTGCAGCGCCTTGTCAAACGCACAACGTGTTATCAGGGTGAAGAAAATAGCCCAGAGTTGCTGTTTTCCTTTGGTTCCTCCGCCGAGTCCTTCAGCAGGAGCGGCGGTGTGAAGGCAGAGCCCGGCTGCGCTGTGTGCCTCTCAGAGAAATGAGCTGTTTCTCTGCTTCAGTCATCCCACACTGACTGGAGAGATGTGGCCCCGTTCACTGCAGATCTGTGACTATCTCACATGTCCTTCCTGCCTCCATCCCCAACACTAATGAACCAAGCCCCTTTGATTGCTGATTTTACGCTTTCTGGACCAATTGTGGGCCCCTATAGGCGTGGTTCTGACAGCTCCGGCCAGACTCTAGGAGAGGAGGGGGGGACAAGAAGGTGTCGGAAGCATTAGCAGTAAGAAAACATGTCAACAGAATAAAATATTAACCAATGACAGGAAAGATCGGGAAATCCCACCCCCATTTCCAAGCCAAACACCGGGTCAGCCCTCAGTTCTTGGCCGGTGGAGGCATCGCCTCTCTCGGCTTGCGTTTTTACAATGTCGCCTTCGGAGAAACCAACCTGTCCACAGACTCACTGTCTTAATACTCACCTTTATACAGAGGATCAGCTCTCCACATTTAGGCTACACTGTCTTTTAGAACAACTCACAACAGTAAATCCACGACTCGCTGCTCATGCTCTGCATTCCGGAGAGATTTATTTCAAAGAGCTGCTGCTCTCTCGGTCGCTCTCTATAATAACAGACTTTGTAGCTAATTATTCCATCGGTTGTTTTGACGCTTAGGCTGGATTTGCCTCACACTAGTCCATGCTATGTTAGCTGTGTGTACACAGACTTCAGCCTCAAACAGCCTCGGCTTCCCCAGGCGAGAGCCGCGTATCTGTGCGTCTTCCTCATCGGGCTGACGGGGACGCAGCAGCAGCAGCAGCAGCAGCAGCAGCCGCAGCGACGGCGGTAGCAGCTAATAAAGGCTGGAACAGACAAACCCTGATGCTGCGTGGAGCAAAAAAGAGGAATGATGGTGGGTGAATTCTGAGAGAAAAATCAGGGAGAAAGAAAAGCGGTGAGTGCTCGATACAAACTCTTCCTTGTTTGGCTGCAGATAAAGTTCGTGTCATATTTCTTTCTTTTTTTTTTTTAAATTAAGGTTAAATATTTTAAATGTTATATTTATTAGTAGTTGGTAATGCAGTTGTGTTGTTCCTGCTGTTACACTTGTCTATGAAATTTTCTCGTGTCTCGTTTGTATTTCCACATCAAACAGTCGCAGCGATGAGATGATTTAGTGCTCAGTCTGAGCTGAGGGCAGGCCGTGGTAGCGTGTAATCTCCGACAGGTTGTATTTTGTCAAACCAAGGACAGTGCGGGACTCCGGGAGCCACGGGGGGCCCCACCAGCCCCGCTGCACTCTGCTCTGCTGAGCTCCTTCACAAAAATCCAGCTCCGCAGCTCCTGATTAACTTGGACTCAGTTTGTTAAAGAGCCGCTCGGCGCCAGTCGGCTGATGCGCCACAATAAGAACAATCTCTTGTCTCTTTGTATTTACCCTGAAGTCCTGCATGTGCGAGCCCCTGCGGCCCCTCAGCAGCCTCATCTGCGGCTCCGCTCCACTTTTCTGCCTCGGTCATGACTCGGTGTCAGATGGGAGTTTTTTCTTTTTGGATAAACAGCGGCTCTCTCCGGGCAGGGAGGACCGTGATGTGGGCCACAGGCGTCACCTCGACAAAAACTGAAACAAAAAGTGATAATCCTTCTGAATGAGGCTGTCAGAGACAACTGCGCATTTCCTATGAACCCCTGGAACTGAGCCGCCTCTCTGTGGCTTCTGTTCCAAAATTGTTACTAGTCATAAAAATGTCTTGAGGAATAAATATAAATATAAAACCACAATAATTAATAAATGCAATTCATTTAATACGCTTCTTAACCGGTCAATTTATAACTATAAAGCAATAAAATAAACCCACACTTATTTAAAGAGACCAAAAAAAAGGAAAAGGAAATAATTTCATCTCCTCAAATGCAACCCCAGAAAGGTTCAGCTGTGTGTCACATAGCGCATGTTTGATTTAAGAGCATGAAATGTTTGCACATCTCCACTGTGTTACACACTTGTTGCTCGGCTTCCATCACATTGATACAGCCATGCGTAAAGAGTCAGCAGGCCAGACAGGAGCAGCTCCAGCAGAACGGAGCGTACCATACCTGAATGAAACACTTTCTGCAAACCCAGGAAACACATTAGATCAGACACAAATCCCTGGAGCGTCAACTGCCTCGCACAGCGCAGGCATCAACAGCGCACTCAGTGTTCAGTGACAATGTGAAAAAGAGTTGTTGTTTTTTTTTCCAGTGAGTCCTGTGTTGGTAATAAATGCTCCCACTTCATTTGAGAATATAAAATAATCAAGAATGTCTTCCTCACACTTTCTTTAGAATATAATCGTGGTGTGAATCTGCTGTAATTTGGCATGACTTGTTTGAAATGCATCATCTATGGATTTATGGAATGAAAGACATGTTAGGAGCGACTTGTCTGGTCAGCCTTTAGAGTTGTATGCACGAAGCTTCACTTTGGAGGAAAAAAGATTAGCAACACATGGAGGTGGATAACGGTTTTTCTGCCGGAATACTCAACTGGGTAATTGTATCAACAATGCTTGTGCAAATCAGTCACCATTTATTTGTTCTGTGCCTTCAACGGTACAGAAATCTCCATTACGCGCGATTTAAAAGTCATTAAGTGGAGGGAGGACTGCTCCGAGCTGCTGCTAATTCTACATAGAAGAGGCACTGTGCTGACAGATTAACATATCCTCTGTGTTGGGGATTAATGAAAGCAGACAGTAAATATGGTCCTTAGACTTTGGGCATGTGTATGTCAGCTAGGGTCTGTGGAGGTGAAGCAATCAACACAGCGAAGTTAGGAAACATCTGAAAGCAGGAGCAAATTCAGAAGTGTTGGTCCCCACTTTCTCCCTAAACTTACTGTTTGGAACATTTATCATATTTGCAAAAGTATTATTTCCTGACCCCCCCTCAGATATACACAAAAATATCGGGGCTGGAAGACTTCAATAGTTGATGAGCGGAGCTGCCTGGCACCCTGCAAGCTGGGCTTGTGTTTAAAGTGAATTAGCTTGGATGACGCTTTCCATACAGTAGGAAGTTGACTTAAGCTTTTCTGTGTCCTTGATCTGTCCGCTCAATACAATACAATACAGCTGCAGATGTGGAAATGTGCGTAAAAAGCGTCTTCCGTCCCGGTGATTTGGCCCCTGTGTCAGCGATCCGAGCCAGAGACGCTCTAATTACAACATAACGGGACAGTTTTGCGCCATATTCGTCTATAATCGAGTATTGTTATTTTCTTCCTCCCCTCGACATTGTTCCCTTCTTCCTTTTGATCTCTCCATCTTCTCCTCCCATCTCCCTGCATCATCTCTCCGGCTATATTTAGCGGCTAGACTGAGGCCTTGGCGCCAGACCGTTTAAGACCTGTCAAAGTCCCTCATATTTCCCCTTGTCACATGGAAACCCGGCGACCAGCGGCCCTCTCCTCCTCCTCCTCCTCCTCCTCCTCCTTCTCCTCCCTTTTTCTCCTTTTCTCTTTTCCTCCTCCTTCTCCCTCCTCCTCCTCCTCCTTCAGCTACCAGCAGCCCTCCACCTCCTCCTCCTCCTCTTCCTCCTCCTGCTCCTCTGCAGTCACTCTGTTAAATGAAACATATCAGTTCTCACTTGTAAGAAAAGCAAAATATTTCCTCAACCCTCTACACACACACACACACACACACACTGCACTCTATCATATTATTTGGAACAATACACTGAAAGAGATGCTTTTTGGGATCAGACTAATACCTGATGCATCACAGCTCTGCGATAAAACAAACATTTTTTCTGGACATGACCTTATGACAAACTCAATCATAAACTACAACCACTCAGATCCAGTTACCTGGCAGCCCCGCAGCCTGCTTTACCCTGTTGTTCTCCCGAACACTCCCGTATCTCAGCTGCAGCCACAGTGTCGGGCAGAGGCTGTGTTTGCGTCTGACTGACAGGTGGAACACCGGGTGGGGGCGCTATGGGGACCCAAGGGAGCCAGAGGAGGGTGACAGAGCTGTCACATCCGCAGGCGTTACAGCAGCCATGCTCGCTACTAGGAAGTGTGATCAGGTTTTAATGCCACTGATCGACTCAAAGAATTCAACTCTTTCCAGTGCAGTTAATTTTACGCACCAAATAGCTGGGATGAATTTAATCTGTTTTAGTTTTGGTGAAATGATGCTGTTAGCTGTTGTGCTGAGGAGACTCGGGGACCTTTGGGTGGCCCTGAACTTCAATTTTTGAGAATTGAAATCAATGCAGCCACAGGTGAAAGAGTCCATGACGCGCTGCACAACATGAGCGCGTATTTATCCAGAGAAAAGACAAATGACGGAGTTGACCTGTCCAGATATCACTCCGCAATAACGTTTATCATCGTTGTGTCTTTTTTCATCGTCTCCTGTGCTTTCAGGCTGCTGGTTGGATGTTTCTTTGAGCTAAACGGCTTCACACATCTGAAAAACCATCATTACAGATATTAGGGCTGTTGTTTTCCTCGGTGTGTGTGTGCTTGTTTTGGGGCTACCTGTGCGTTAAGTTTAAAATAAAATGAAATAAATTTGATTCAACCGAATCATCTTCTTAAAATTTGTTTATATATATATTTAAAAAGTTCATGCATTTGTCTTCTCTAGACTAAAATCGGCCTTTAGAATTTAAATCCTGACTTTAAACATCTTAACTGTTAATTCTCCAAAAAGCTTCAAGGCCTCAGCACCACCACATTTATTTTTAAAAGAAAATACTCTCTGGCATCATTTTTTTATTCACCCGATCCTCTGCGTATTTATTTATTCAAAAGATTTTTTCTTTATTGTTCTTTTGAAAATATATTCATCTAAACAGCGCACATCGAACGCTGGAGTCTCTCATTCTGATGTTTGTATTATTTACGCGCCGGTGCGACTTCTTCATTAACTTAAAATCCACTTGCGCAGGTTTACGATGCTGAGCGAATCCAAGAGAGACATTCTCCTCCTGTGTGTCTGTTTGCTTCAAGAGAACCGCTCTGAACTCTTTACTAATCAGGAAAACATTTAAACATCGGCTTTTTAATATCCTCCAGCTGACAATATTTATTACTATTTCATGTTAGTCGAGACGCATTTTTTTTTTTTTTTGTACCAGCAAAATGATGTTTTGTGTGTTTTGCAGATGTGTTGACAGCGTGCAGAAATTGAATTAGCAGCCTGAGCGCCGGGAACATTGAATCCTATTAGGAGCAGCAGAGGAGCAGCTACCTGCAGGCCTCGGCTCTCAGCAGCTCCCTCAGGACCAGAGTCCTGCAGCAGCAGCAGCAGCAGCAGCAGCAGCTCGGATCATCACAGCCCTCATCGGCACCCGGAGCTGGAAGGATCCGATCTGAGGAAGTCACATTTATTGTTACACATTTTGAATACTGCAAAAAACACCCGGAAGTGTCAGCTTAAAACAACGAGATGTGAAATGATTTAAAATGGAAATAGTGGAGTTTGATAAAGTTTCAAGTCATGTTGCCATGAAAGTTGGTGATAAACTGAAATATCGAAAATGACTTTTTCTTAAAGAGTGAGTTCAGGCAGCTTCATCTTTTATGAAGCATGAAACCAGAAGTCTAAAGCATGCAAAAAGGATCGACATATCTTCAGATGAGGCTGCACAATGAATGAAAGAATTGAGATGAAGGTGAACCTATAGATGTGACTTGAGCTCCGTGAGGCTCCCAGCAGCGCTGCTCTGGCTCTGATCAGCAGCACAAACATGGCAGATGAAACTGAAATGAAACTGAATCTGATGCAGAAAAAAAATCCTGCTCATGTTCCGGATTCTCGTCTAATCTCCATCTAACCTGCCCGCACATCGGTGAGCACATCTCCAGCTTTGTCCTGGACGAGCTGCGGCTGATTGAGAGTCCTCCTGGTGACAAAGCTGTGAGTGTGCCAGCGGCTCTCAAAGTGTGGCTCACGGACCTGCGGCGGTCCTGAAGGAGCACTGATGTAGGACAAAGCAGCAGCTTCATTTTAGCATCGTTTCACCTGCCAGCAATCATCCTGCTGACAGAACAGAGTCTGAAAGGGACTATCGTAGCCAGAAATTCCGGTTTTAGTGAAGTGCGCAGTTCAGCAGCAGAGATCAGATGAAACTCTAGTTTTACAGGCGTGAACACCTGTTGCACACTCAACACACTGCTGTATGCACCCGCAGAAAAACAAGGGTTCCTAAATGGTTCCTCAGAAGGCTGTTGAAGAACCTCTGTATGTAGTGGGTGGTTCTTCACATACTGTTTGTTTTCTTTTGAAGAACTGAAGGTTCTTTGATTTTACTGGAGTTATTTGGCAGCAAGAAAAAAGCTGGAAATTACAGCTGCAACCAAAAATAATGATTATTAACACTTATTGTTGCACATTTTTTCACTATTAATTGATCCTTTGGTCTATGAAACATCAGAAAATCCAAAGCTGGCATCTTGTAATGTGTGTTTCTATCTAACTGAGAACTCAGTATTTTAAATGTGGTGAAATGGAAGCCCCCAGAAAAGCATTTACAATTCATACTGATATATATATAAATAAATCAATGTTTCTATTGCAGTCAAATGCATTTAGTGTTTCTTGATTTTTAGTTTGCATCCATAACTTTGTTGGAGGTTTTAGGGCTCAGATTGACTGTTTCTGTGTTTGGCTGATAAGTCTGTTAGACTTTGTGCTTCTCTGAAAATTAATTTTTAAAAACCTGACTTTACTGTAATTAAATAGAGTGAATTGGAAAGTTAATAAATGGCCAATAATTATGTTCATGAGTATCACTTTCAACCTGTCGATAATAATTGAATTTAAAATCATCAAAGAACCATTTACTTTGAAAAAAAACCCCCAAAACAAAACAATTAAAAACCGGCTAAAAAGAAGTTCTTTACACGAAGAACAGTTTTATGAATGGCTCCATGAAGAAGCTCATTTTGTTAAAGTTCTAAAGTGCCTCAAAGAGCCACTTTTTTAAGGTGAGACACCTTTGGAGCTTCTTTAAAGAACTGATTGCAGAAAAGGCTCTTTAAAGAATCTCTTCCTAAAAGGTGTTTAAAATGCTTCTGTTCCAGTTAGCACCTTTATTATTATTATCATGATTATCATTGCGTGTACAGTTGGTGTTTTACAGCTGCTACTGCGGGACTTTCACATGGTTGCTGGATCATTTTAATGATTTAATTCCTACCTTAATTAAGGATGGACCAACTGAAAACCTCTAAACTCCTTCCTGTCTGTGTTTCAGTCTGTCGCTCTCAGGACAGACTGGCTGCTGGTTCAGGGTTCCACATGAAGACGATGAGCTGGTGGTGTCCTCAGGGTGAGTCCCACACACAGCCAGCGCTGAGCTGCACAGGACACACCTGACTGTCTGCAGACTTTATCTGTCCACTGGCTGCTCCTTCACATCTTAACACTCTGCTGCTTTTGTAATTTTGCAACCAAATGAGATCAAAACTGCTTATTTTCACTAATTCCTCCAACATTTTTTTTAATGTTGTCATTTTTACATACTTACAAAAAAGAAAGAAAATAATACACAGTGTCTGTAGACTGTTGTATTTCTGCAGCCATCAGTTAGAAGAGCAAACACACCCATGTTTGGACTCTCTCTCTCTCACTGGATGCTGCTAAACTTCCCAAAACAATTTGTCTTCTTTCAGCAGAGTTTGTGAGCTATTAGGCTATATAGTTATTATTTCTTAGCTCCTACAACCACCTGATCCTCTCATGTTCAGCAATCAACAGTGATAAAGATTGAAAAATGCCAGCACTCATGGTAAAAATGCTCTTCATTCTAAAAATGATATTTTGAATTACAGGGTTATTAATAACCAGCTTGGAGCATGATATGTGTTGTTAAAGCTACATGGACAATGAATCCCTAATAAAAACACGTCACATATAATAAGTAAGCACATTGCTTTTTAAAAGAATCTAATTAATTCTATTATTTACCAGCCTTCACAGTGGGTGAGCTTAACGTTGTCACTGTCATATCCAAAAGTTAGAAGAAAGAAAAACCTGCTATAAATGTTCATTTTAATGTGGTTGTATTTACTTTAGCACGGAGCTCGTGTTGGGAATGAAAGCTTGTTTAATATTAGTAAGAAGCCCAATCATATGCATCAGCATCACATGCTGGCACTTGCTTTAAAAAATAACAAATTAAAAAGTCCCTAAGGACCAAAGCCATGCAGGGAGCTTTCTGCTGGTTGTTTTTTAGAAATGAAGTTAGCGGGAGGTCTGGGAAATTGTTCAAACTAGTAAAGTCACCAAATAGGAAAAATAGGATGAAGGCAACGCTACACTGGCACTAAAAACTGTTCCCACCAGCTTCCACGACTACATCATAAGTAGAGCTGCAACGTTTAATGATAAGTTATCGACATAAAATAAACTGCAATTTGTTTTGATAACCGCTAAATTGGTTTGGGTCATTTTAGAAAAAAATAAATCAGAATTCTCTGACTGCAGCCTTTTAAATGTCAATATTTCAGATTTCTTTTTTCCTCTATAACAGTAAGCTAAAAAAAAAAAAAAAAACTGTAGAAAAAAACAAGATATTTGTCATTTGGGCTTTTGGAAAAACTGATCAACATTTTTGACAATTTTCTGAGATTTTATAGATCAAAAAACTAATTAATTAATTGAAAAAAAAAAAATCCCAGCAGATTTTTTGACAATTGAAATAATGTTGATTAGTGACTTTACCTTCAACCTACAGCCCTAATAAAAGCAGCAGTGCTCTCACTTCACACTGCAGGCTGCTCAGCTGCTGTCACCAAACACTGCAAAGGCTAATCCTAAATGCCATATAACAAATGCTAAGCTGTAAGCATGCCAACGCATGCAGTAGGCCCCAGTGTGACCAGACTGTGTTCCAGTTCCATGTGGAATGTTTCTACTTCCTGAACTTGATGTTCAAGTTCATGCTGCTGTCTAAAAATCATGACAATAGGTGTCCTTACTTTCAATTCTTAAATGACTGATCAGTGTGCAGTTTGCTGCTGTGCTTCTCTTGTTCAATGTTCAGAAGTTGGGACTCAGCAGCAAGCATTCTTCTGCTGCACATTTCCTGGCAAGAGGTCGGATGTCAGGACCTGGAAAGTTTAAATTTTGCTCCAGTTTACATTTCAGGGAGCTGATTCTGTTATCTACAATGACTCAGTGAGCAGGGACTGACAGGACAAATGTCTGTCTGAGTCAATGCTAGAACACACTGCTGCAAAGGTTAAAGCTCAGTAATTCAGAAATTCTCCCCATTTACTGCCACAACAAGGTCTGCTTATTAAAAACTCCTTAAATATTTAAATTAATTTTTTACAGACATGTAATTATTTTTGTGTGTGTGTAGTATGTAGTTTGTTATTCATGACATATTCTGTTCCTAATGGTGAGGGAGACTTCCTCTGTGTTTATAATTTGTACCTCTGAAGATATTCAACAATGTCAAGTGTTTGTAAGAACATGGTGAAATAAAACAACTTTCAATTGCAAACTGCAGTTCTTCCTCTCGTACTTGTTGCATAAAGTTTCTGCTGGATGAAGTGGCACATCCTGCCAGCTGGAGCTTATTTCTGCTTTATTCATGAGGGAGTCTTGCATATAACCCTAAACAAACACATTTTGCAATGGTTCATTTTATGTATTCACTCTGTTGTCCAACTCAGGCTGCAACCGATTTTAGCTTCAAATATATGTGAGCACAGGCACACTGTTGTTCATTTCTAATGTTTCAGGCATTACGTTGTAATATGTTATTCATTGAATTTGTCAGGCCATCTCTTCAAGTTTGGAGATGTTCCATTATGGCTGGATGAGGAACGCTTTTTAATTTTACGACTGGTAGCTTATGATGCCATCGATAAACTACTAAAAATAGCGTAGAAAGTCTATTACATCGCTAAACTATTTTAATTCAAATTAGTTTAAATGTCATAAGTTTAACATTTTGCTTCATTTAAAAAAAAAAAATCAGTGTATATGAGTTTTAGGATTAGAAGTTTCTGCTGATTAGCAGAGAAACAAACATGCCCTCTCGTTTCTCCCTCAGAACAAAGAGCCAGTCGCCCATAAAAAGTCCCTTTAACAACACTTTACTGCCTGTTAAAAAATATGGTACTAATTAGCAGCGGTTCTATGTGTGGACGGTCACCGCCGTGGTTGAAATGTGAACAGTACAATTAGGAGCAATCAGAGTGAGAGAAAAAGACAGTTTCATTTCCTTGACTTTTATTATATCTTCACTTGCATGAACGCTGGGAAAAGAAGCCGGTATTTTACAAATCCAATCAGACCGTCAACAGCAAGCATTTGCTCTGCATTAGTAGATTCATGCTCTTTCTCTGTTCATTCAGTGACCGAGCCAGGACATCATGACATGCAGCCAGTCCAGCAACACTCAGACATGTGGGATTGTGCACTACATTGCAATTTTTTTTTTCTAGGGTGACTCTGGAAATAGTGCATTTATTTCTCAAACATTCTGCAAACTACCAGGCAATGTGTGTTCAATAGAGTCATTTCTGATTATCAAAGTTCTTTGCTACGGGCAAAGCTAGCGCATTTAAGGAAAATACTTTTTTTCTTTTTTAAAGATGCATAACTAGAAGCAGGAAAAAGATTTTGGTCAAAAGTTGCTAAAGTACAAAATACAGCATGACGGCTACACAAGCCTCTATTACTCCGCTCAATTAAAATTTACTACCTGGAAAGGCCGAGTGGGGAATATATCTAACTGATTTCAGAAACATATCTCAATTACACTGTAAACATCTAAATTACTTCAGCAACGTAGTAATAGTGTCATCTCATTACTGCATCTTTTGTCAAATGTAATTACAAGAAAATCAAAGGCATGAAAGGAGCAAATTTAATCAAAAACATTTAGCGAGAGGCCATGAGAGCAGCAACACACACACACACGCACACATACACACACGCACACATACACACACACACGCGCGCGCACACACACTCGGAGGGAAAAAGGAGCTGCTACACGTCATTGACTGGAATAAACATTTTTTTTTCCTCTGTCGGTGCTCCCTTTCTAATGGCTCATTCAGACAATAGGCACACCGTAAAACTTCAAACACACGCGAAGAATGATGGCGGGCCGAGGAAACAGCAGACACCAGCTGCAGAGAGGACAGGACGGCTGGTTTGCAACGATGTCTGTGAGGACTGGCTGCTGATTTAACGCAACGAAAAAGGTAATAAGCAGCCTGATTTGTGGGGGTGATGTTAAAAATCTAACATTGAAAATACAGGAAGCTCCTCCTTAAAACAAGCTGTATCAAAATATGAGACGACATTTGGTTCATTGCTCAGAAACACTTACAGCAGCTGCTAACCTTTTCAAAAATCTATAATAAATGTGTCCAGGAGTTTCCATCCTGACGTGAAAGCAATTTGAGGGTAAACACCAAATAATTTTCTGGGAATGATTTTGGCATTAAATGGACAAATTCAAAATATCTGGAAATCTGCACAAGTTACAGCTGCAGGTAGCTTCAACGAAACAATATGAGCCTTCAAAATCCGACCTCACAAATGAAACACTAATACTGGATGTAGCTGGACTCGCACTGATTTGTGATCAGCTGTACGAGAAGAGGAAAAAAGACAAAACAAAACACACTGTACAGAGAAACACAAATCCTAGAGACGATTTGGTCTCAGTTCAACACATCAGTGTGTCAGTGGGGGAGCGGGAGGAGGGGGCAGGCAGGTGCTCAGGTGGGCTGGACGGTGGGTGAGAGATGGGACTCTAGGGGAAGTTTGTGGGGAACAAGCTGAGTGGCTGGCTCTCGTTGGTGGGCAGGGGGGAGCGGTAGCCTTCGAAATTGCGTGGGATGCTGCCGCTGGTGGAACCCGAGCTGTTGCTGAGGGTCTCGATGCTGCCCTCCCTCTGCAGCTCTGCAGGGAGACAGACACAGACAGACAAAGAGAAGGAGAGAGAGAGAGAGCATGTTTAAGGAGATATCAGCTACATCACAGGCTTAACAAACAGCATACCTTCATATGCCACCTCTGTCCGTGCTCTTATTTTGACAGTACCGGGGTATACTCAGAGCCACTGCAGACACAGTCCCCGCTGACGCAGTGACTATGAGGACTGGCCGTTGAACGTCAACACTTTGTGACTATCACCTGAAATATGTCAACGACACTGAGTGAATATTAACAACTGTGAAGTGACAAAATAATGCAGGTCATATGTGCACACTTCTAATTTGAAGAGTATTTTTTAATATTCAGCATGGTCCGTATGGATGGACGTTTGGCTTGTTTTGCTAAATGAACATAAACGGTTAATACCAAAAGCATAGTTGTCAAACTAAAAAACAGCTACTGTAGTGGGACCTGCTAACAGCTCTGCTAACTGATTAAATTAAGGGATGCTACTACTGTCATATTAAAGAAGCACATTAAAAACAATGAAACGTAACAGTGTTGTGCACACAGTGGTTGAGCAACACTGATTTACAGGTGTAGCAGAGATGCAGCTCTACATGTTGTTCACTCAAACAGGCAGATGAAGAAAACTTGTTTGATGCTTGTATCTGAGGGCAGATAAACTTTCCCCCCCTGATGGACAGAGTACACCTGTACGCTGATGAGCCAAAACTCATAGAGATGAAGATTATTTTGTAACAACAGAGTGTCAGGCTTTGATAGACGGTAAGTGAAAGAGTTGTTTGTTGCAGTATTGAATGAGGGAGAAACAGGCGGGTGGAAAGTTCTGAGTGAGTCTGACCAGGGCTAAAGACTTGGAGGTCAGATGACTGTATTGGAGCATCTCCCAAACACCAAAGGGTTTTGGGATACTCCCAAACAGCAGCTGGCCAACGAAGGACCAACCATGACCTGGCAAAAGGGTGTTTATTGGATGGCTCTGATACACAGTGGTCAAAAGTGTAACTTGTTGGACTTGAAGGATCTCCTGCTAAAGCCTTGGTACCAAACACCACAGAGCTCCTTTAGAGGTCTTGTAGAGTCTGGGGTAAGCGTGAGCAGTTACATGGTCAGACAGATTAACTAATCTGGAAGGAAAACAAAGGCGAACTGTCACCCCAACTTTCCTTTGTAATAACTTCTTCAGTGCAGTACAGGCTACAGTCTCGGTACCAGCTTTGACCTGCTGTATTTATGAATGAATGAATTATGTATTGTTGTGTTTCCTCTCGGTATTTGTGCGTAATATGGGATTTGAACCAACTTTTCTGGGCATTCACTTACAGTTTAACCTCCAAATAAAGTGGCTTTGATAATCTGGAACTATTGCTTTGTTTACAACCTGTGTGAACGCCTGACTGCTCTTGTTTCTGATCCAGTTGAACTTTGGTTTACAGATATGAGCGATTACTATGATTGGTACAGTATTAACATACAAATTATAATAAAACCAGAAAACAAGATACACAGTAAATTTTAACAATAATCCTCTAAGCCAATACAGGAACGTACAAAAGCAATTCAAAACATTTTAGGAGATATGAGCAGACATTAAAATCACAAGCCAGAGAGCGGTGGATACAACACTACACACTTTACAACATTATTGCTTGACTTAACAGGCAGTACGAAGAAAAAGGTCATTTTAGATACTAGTGATCCCGGGGGATCCTTTCTTCTTGCTCTACCATGAATAACTCATCAGACCACTATTACCCTGCATTTGTGTTCGAAGCAGATGACGTTCACATCTGTGACAGTAACCCACACTGTCAGTGGACATCAGTTATTCTGGGACACAACTAAACTCTCCCAACATTCTCTGGGTGACACAGAGCATTTCTCTGACATGTCATGCTGCTCCACAGCCCCCTTCAACATCCCTCACTGTTGGACTGACCGAGCTGCTCTGGTGAGGATCTCCGCATAAGGAACTCATTACCGTTATTACATGCTGTAAACCATATCCGTCGATATGTGGACGGAATGGCGTGCGCGTAAGTGGCAGCACAGTATTAAGACTGTGATGCATGTAGTGTATTGTGACGTCCATCAGGCGTCTAGCTGTGTTTAATCTGCTGCTGCCTGCCTGCCTGCTCTGCTGACAGTGGTCGACGCCCTGGAAACATGCAGCAGCGTGCATCTGTGACGGAGTATGACTGTCATCAACAAATTGAGAGCAGGATTTGATAATGCATGTACATGAGAAGAAAAGTGCACGTGGTTACTGTTCATGTAGGTTTGCAGAATAGAGAGGATCAAACGCTTTCATTCAGCAGGCCTTCAGGCACACACTGGGGCAATAGTCTACATATGATGTGACTAAAAGACAGAACATGCCTTTCTGAGCTGCATGTGAATGAGATGAGATGATGTATTGGCACTGTAAAATTGTGTAAAAAGCAAATCCTGATGCTTCAACAAAGATGTGACGATGTGCCAATACCCCCAAAGGGGTATGGGTGAATAATGTGCTACAAACTCAAGGTGCTGCCTTGGATGATGCACGTTGTTTCAAGTACTGGTGGGGCAATAACATACGATTCAAGATGGCCTGTTTAAGTCATAGATTTGTGAGTTTAACATCTTATCAGACACCAAACCGCTGCCCTTTAGAATACTATGATGAAGTATTTCATAGCTCTGAGAAAAACCCACTGATGTTACAAAACAATGTACCTGCATATATTTAATGGGCCACTGCAGTTCCTTGTGGCTTGCAGTGACATCTGTTAGTGCCAAAAACTTTCTGTGCTGTCCAGGACATGTTTTGTCAGAAAAAAAACTAAGTTCTAGTGAGATAGAAGAGATTCTAGTTGAATTAAACATTGAGAATTTTTGTTGATTATCACCTCAACCCCCCCCGAGAGAACATAGAGAAAAAAACAGTCACTGACACAGTGTCCTGCACCAGCAATGACAATCAGTGCAAATACTGCATCAAAATATAGTAGAAGCAGACACGCTGCAGCTGTAATCTACTGCAACCTGGAGTTTTTTTTTCCTTCTGGTATCTGTTTTTACTGCATCAGAACATCATGCTATGAATACTTTTTTGCTGTTTGAGGTGACTTTGAACTGCCGTCTGTCAAAAAACTGACTGCAGAACACATCACTGACCTTGAGATGAACAGGAATCCTAATTAGCTTAAGAGTCTTTTCAAATTCATAACAGCACTGATATAAAACCACAGCGTGTGTTTAATGCATCCTGCAGATGTGCAGGAGCTAATGCCGATACTGTCTTTGGTGGGTATGCAGGAAGTGGGAGATTCTTACTTCAGCTCAGGAAACCTAATACAAACCACACTGTTATTATCACAGCTAACACGCAATGTGGCACACTGCGGTGTTATCCCAGCCCGCGGCCAGCTCTCCCACCCCCCTCCTCTTTAATTCCCCAACACTACATAGGGCAGAAATGCTGCAGTAATCCCAGGCAGAGGGGAGGACTGCTGGTTCATACGGCTCTGGGTTCAGATAATAGGAGGATTTATAAGGCCAATACTGGTACTGTATTAGATGAGGTGCTAATAGTTGTTGGTTTCACTGTATAACAATACTTGTTTTCATGTAATAAAACACTTTTTTTTTAACAAAACAATTTAAAAAAAGATTTTTAGACAAAGGTATTTGGGTCTTTATTTGACGGATATAGTAGAGAGACAGCTAATCGAAACTAGGGACCCACTGCTCGCCCCTGTGGTATGCGCCCAAATACCACAGCAGCAGTCGGGCTACCCGAATAAGACAGAATTAGCACTGACTGGTTGTTTACAGTTGCACTTTAATACACATCTTCCCTCTCACACATTCATCGAGTATCACAGCACACACCACAGTGCCGGGGTTATCTGGAAGAATATGGGTCATCTGTAATGATATCATTTTTCCAGTCACGGCGCCAGGCAAGCAGAGAAAAGTGCCAGAGTCACTGACAATGAACATAACCTCTGCAGCTGCACACTGTTCCTGCATGAGTACTGCTCACCTCCACACCGATGTGACGCCCAGGGGTCCCTCAGGAGCACCTAGGGGATCTTCAGTAAAGTGCTGCCAAGCTTCTTTTTATTCATCAGTAATTCCTCAGCTTAATTCCTCTAGTTAACCAGTAAAACTCCTTGTTAACTCTGTTTTTTTTTTCCCATCACTGCTTCCACGCTTCCTACACCACTGATCAGAATTGCCAGCCACTTGCCCTCTCAGCTAGCCTTTTTGCCAACCCCAGCTAGCCCAGCTGGATCTGCACTGTTGCAGTGTTATTGTAGGCGCTGTAAGCTGCTGAACACCCCAGTAAAGCCCTAAAGGCCCTTTCTAGTGCTGCCTAATCCACCTCATTGTGTGACGCCTACCAGCTATTCAACAAGTCTTAACCTCTCACGCCCCCGACACAATCCCCCAGCGCTCTAATGTTGGGGATCTTTTCCTCTGGGGCTGATGTCACAAGGTAAAGTAATATGGTTATTTACAAGGTGGTTTTGTCTGGCGTGATGTGTAGATAATGCTGCTCTGGAGGGAGGCCAATGAAGAAATGGAAACTACTGTAGTGTTTGACTGATATGGGCTCTTAAAGGACGGTTGATCAGAGCCGACTGACAAATATTTTGTGCAAATGTGTAGTGGCTTATTTTAAAAAATGTCATTTTCAATGCCAAAAAAGACATATTTGAAATTTAAAAGCGGATAACAGCATCTGAGATGGTACTATGTAGAGGCAGTTTGCATTGTCAAATGACATATTGGCTCTTATAAGTCACTGAAATATAATGTTCTTGACCATTTAAGTCAAATATCAGCATGCGCACAGCCAATTCTTGGAAGAAATTCTCCTGCTGGTGTTGCCTGTATGGCTGCTTGGACAGGAGCTGTGCTTTAGGATGACACCAGTGGCCAGACTTCAAAAGAAAATGCAAGTTAACACAAGATGAAAAAGCTATCAGTAAAACAGCAGCGGATGCCAC